AAAACTATATTAGTAGCAAAATTCATTTAACAATATTGATAATAATATAATTATAAAACGTTTTCAAAATATCAAAATGCTCATTAACTTATTTTCATTAATATTATATTGTTCTTAAAAAAATTACACTTTAACTTTTGACCGAACAACTCCGATATGTCTGGGTCCGCCCTGGCTATTAGTATTTAGTAATAAGACGGTTCCTCGTATAGGGTAGGAAACTGCAAGAACATTTCGTCTTGGCGTGCTATCATGGCTTCCACAAATGAACCATTTGAAGATGACAAATTTTCAAAGGCATACATGGAATTGTCATTATTCTTATCTTCAGCTGCTTCATAATCTTGTTTTTCTTCTGTATTTGCATGATTTTGCGCAAGTATCACCGCGTTTTCTTGATCAGGGACGAGCACGTCTTGAAGAAGAAAATCATTCCAATTGAAGCTCGAAGTAGTAGCTTGATTCATAGTTGAAGAAGGCGAAGTCGAGGAAGAAGCACATTCAGCCATAAAAGATTGCGGCGGGATGGTATAGTTTGATGAATCTGTAACCAAATTTATAGCCTGAAATTGGGAGTAAAGATGAAGGGAATTGTCATTGAATGGTACAACATTTTGACATGTTTGTTGGTTATGCTTTTGAGGTTGTTCCGATTTCAACATCATCGAAGAGGTAAACTGCATTCTGGCTTTCGGGAAGGCGCCTATGTTTCCATAGTCTGCGAGAATTTGGGAGAAGGGCTTATGAGTAACCGGGTCGATTCCCATTGCAGAGAGTTTTTTCCGCAGTTTTGTGTTCCAGAAGGTTTTCACGTCGTTGTCTGTTCTCCCGGGAAGTTGCTGTGCTATAATAGGCCACCTGCAGTGTTGAAAAACATGATACAAGTGGATAATACGGTGTTTGTTAAGTTAGTGAGCGTAAAAATGAGGCGTGTGATGTAGAGGATGAGTGACCTAAAATTATTTCGAATGGGATAGTTATTAGATAAGAATTGAGCCTCCGTAATCGATAAATTCAACCAATTCGATCCGGCTTCAAACCATCAAGAAAAGAAAATCCAAAATTTTTCTTAGAGAATGAACCAATGTTCCTACTACCTACTAACCATCGAAAATCAAGGATACCTTGACATTAACTAGATTTTGGGTCGGCCCATATGATTTTTTTCTTCCTTTTTTCGTCACTCTTGCTCAGTTTGCTCAGTTAGTGAGCGTAAAAATGAGGCGTGTGATGTGAACGAAGAACTCGATATAGTCTAGACATACTTAGAAAACCATTAAATGTAGTAGTTAGGAAAATTAATGAAACTAAAGATGGAGGATGAGTGACCTAAAATGATGTCGAATGGGATAGTCATTAGATAAGAATTGAGCCTCTGTAATCGATAAATTCAACCAATTCGATCAGACTTCAAACCATCAAGAAAAGAAAATCCAAGATTTTTTTCTTAGAGAATGAACCAATGTTCCTACAACCTACTAACCATCGAAAATCAAGGATACCTTGACATTAACTAGATTTTGGGTCGGCCCATATGATTTTTTCCCCTTTTTTCGTCACTCTTGCTCAGTTTATCGTTAGATCTACCGGAAACATAGGGAAACTAGATTATTTTTAAAAGACTGGAATTATACCTGCTTCCTATTGCTGAATGAAGCTTGATGATCAACTCCTCTTCTTGAGGGGTAAAACTTTCATTCATCATATCAGTCTTTTGATTTTTAGCCCACTTTTGCCTACAACCTTTTGCACATTTCCTCAGTCCTATATAAAACACTTATAATTAAAGAGATCCCCACATAATTTCAGCTTATTTTTAGATATGAATTAAGAATGATAATCACTTACCTGCTTTTTTTGGTGAAGAAGTCCAATTACCAGAAAAAAATTTCCCATTCTCCTCTTGATTCCAATGATCCTTCTGCTTATCTAAACAAGTAGTTTTTACCATCTTAGATTATTTTCCGAGTCGATTTACGAAGAAATATAAGGATGAAGATGGTAGAAATGAGCTTAACTGCTTCATTGGAGTGAGGCAAGAAAAGCATGGGGGCTTGCTACATTGAACTGCATTTGCATGATCAAATGCATCTTCTATTCATTTTCACAAAGCAATAATTAATAATACATTTTGTATTCATGGTTTAAAGAGCATTTTGATCAGGTTCAAATTGGGTGAGTAATTTGGTCAAAAATAAGTTGATTATAAGCAATTTTAAAAGATAATTAAATTATTTCTACTGACCTTTTGTTTTATTTCAAAAATGATTCACAAGTATGATAAGAGTAACTAATCAAAAAGGAAAAAAATTGTGAAAGACCACCATTTTGGCATGATTTTGTATTCAAATGGTTGACTTTTAGGTTTTCAAATCAAGAATATGTAAGAAAAAGGTAAAACTTAAATGCATATTCTATTTAGGGAAATTGCATGGTTGGTCCCAACTTATGCTTCCAAGAGAAATTTGATCCTTAGATCTTTAAAAATGAACAAGTTAATCTTCAAAATTTTACTGTAGTCGCAAATCAATACCAATAACATGAAAGTTAAATCTTTGCTAAATTGTTATTCGCGTCAAATTTTTAGGTATCAACTTAAGTTAGAATGCAAAACTTAGCTTCATAAAATAGTATATGCAAGTCGCATGGTGATTTGACAAATATTTGATTTTTAGACTGACTATGCAATTATAATGAATCTTTGAGAATCAATTCTCTTGGGATTGAGGACCAACAATACAATTTTTCCATCTACTTTTACAAACACCTGGAAGACTGCAAATGACGAAAGTTAGCATTAGTGATCCGATGACCAACGATGTTGAGTGGAAGGGTTGTCGCTGAACGGATAAAAATTACTCTAAGAATAATAAACTAATCTTCTCCAACAGCTCACATCGTCAGGAAGGTTTGGCACCTCGATTTCGGCTCTTCACCACTTGAGCTATATTATGTTCCAAGTGTTGGGCTCTTCGTCCATTAAAGCAGTATGTGTGCTAGGTTCGGAAAAAAAATATAATTAAATTTAAAATTTTGTTGTGAATAAAATTCGATTTTTTGTTTTTGAAGAAACATGTGTATTTTCTTCTCAGACTACTAAATACAGCTAAATAATTGTCAAGAGCATTTTTTTTCCACTTAAAAGTAATTTTTTCTTTTCTAAGACTTCAAATTGTAATTAAACTCTAGTTGTCTTGTTCAACCCCTATTTTTTCAACCACAAATTCCCAACTTCATCGATCAAAATTCATCTCCTCGTTGTTTAAACTTGTGGTTTTAATTTGAATTCACTCAAGAATTGGCTTGAAAAATACCATTGTTTCAAATACTGTCTAGGTTCAAATCAGTTATTGTTACAATTTTTTTTTTAAAAATTTCAATACCTTTTTTCTTCTATATTTATTAAAGAAAAGTTTAGAAGATTATTAATTAAATCAGTTGCGCATTGACAAAACTAAGGTATCAAATGCACGCTGACTCCAACTTGTACAATAAATTTGAAGACAACCTTAGTCTCACCTAATTTAGGCAATCTATTAATTAAGTTTTTATGCGTTAAAACGTGAAAATTTAGTTAAAACGGTTGAAACAAATTTCTTCTGTTTATACGACTCGACTAGGTCTCATATTCAATTTTTAATAATTCACGAATAATACAAGATTTTAACCTTCTATCTTTTTTAATATTGTTCGATACTCCACAAAACTTACCAAACAAGTTGTTCAACTTTTACACAAAATCATTGAAAATATAAGCATAAATGAATATGTTCTTCTCAACGCCGTACAATATCCAACGTACTACAATTCCGAATTCAATTCTCATCACGATTTTGTTCGGCACCAATTTATAAATTAAAGACAATATTTAATTTTAACCACACATACATAAAAATTACTCATTTGTTATCTATATATTTAGTGGAATACACTATTATTTCTTTTTATAAATTTCCCAGGGAGGACTAATTATAAACTCTTAAAATCTCGTCTCATTTCCTTAATTATATCTATATTGAATGTAACCATTAGACCCAGACAACTTGCTTAATTCCGTACGGCCAAAATTTATCTCCCAAAATTTCAACTAGGGATGGCAAAAAAACTGTTCAACCCAAAATCCTAGGGGCCCGCCCTAAACGAGGCAAGGATTACCTGCCTAATCGGGTAAATGGGGCCGGGAAGGGGCGAGGGTCATTGTGCCGAAGCGAGTACGAAAATTATAGTCCTTGCGCCCCGCTAGCCGTCCCGTTTAAAGTTAATTTTAAATTTAAGTTTTTATCAAACAAAAATAATAAATTTATACCCCGAACGGGACGGGTACGGGAATCATAGTCCCCACTCCGCTACCCGTCCCGTTTAAAGTTAATTTCAAATTTAAATTTTTTATCAAACAAAAATAATAAATTTATTATATTGTTAAAGAGAACATAAGTCATTTCTAATACATTGGTAAAAAAGTAATAATATTTACCAAGTAAAGACATAAAAAAAAAGAAAAAAGAAAAGCACAAAATAAAATAAATAAAAAAGAAAAAGAAAAAAAATGGGCGATAAATGGGGCAGAGGCCCCTCCCCACCGTCTCGTCTCACTTTAAACAGGTATGAGGATGTGGCAAGGTAACAAAAATACCCGATGAGACGGGGGTGAGAATGGCCGACCCGTACCCGTCCTATACCCGCTTCATTGCCATCCCTATTTTCAACCATTTTCCTTCGTTGACATTGTACAAGTTTGGTAGGTAATTAAATTAAAATTTAGGTCCTACGTAACGAAGTAAGTTGCGGATCCTATAGAATCTATAGATAAAAGTATATATTTGACCACTTCAAATGATAATTTAAATTTTATTAAATGTGCTCCTGAAATGTAATTAAGATAAAACAATATCGAAGAAAGTGTTTTTGAAATATGTTTGGGAGCAACAATACAACTCTAAAACTAGTGGATTGAGTCATCAAATGATGGCGGTCGAATGTCATATAAAATTTAGCATATTTCACTGAATATCAATTGATTTTTAAATGAAATAATTAAAATTTGATAGTAACAAAATATTTGTCTCGTATCTTTCGATTTTGGAGTAGTTCATTTACTTTTTGACAAGATGAAAAATTCTAGGACTCCACATAATTTGTATGTTGTGGTAGATATGAATAATAAAGGCAGAAGCATAAATTTCTCACGACATATTCTCCAATTCAATGAACCAAATAGTATTAACTATTTTTTTTTTTGGGATTGTTGATAGTAATACGATGTGAAAAATTAGAAAATATACACTATCGGTATTTGACATGCAGTTAGGGACAACAACGGTGGTACTCGAGACGAATTTTAACCGGACATTTTGACAAAACTTTACAATCCATTTTGACAAAATTTTATTTTTCTCACTCATTTTCGATTACACATTTTAAAAATAAAATATTCTGCATGTAAATTATATATATATTTTTACTTTTTAACCACATGTTTTTCATAAAAATCACTATTACAAAACTCATTTTTCAAAAAAAAAAAAAAACTATTTTTAATAATTGTCAAACGAGTTAAAAAATATATATATATTGAAAGGGTTGAGACAACTTGCGCCTTATTAAAGGTAGAGACCAACTTATTAATGAGGCAACAAATTGCAGGGCTATTTCTATATTTATTTATTATGAAAAAATTCTTGTCAAATTCCATAAAATTATTTTCCCAATTTGAATTGGAAAAGGAATTTCTTCACGAACGACCACCCAGAGGACTTCAACTCCAAGAACACTCTCTCTGTCTCTCTCTCTCTCCGCCTATACATACACAACCCATATATCTAACGTCTCTCTAGACTGTAAATGCTATTCGGTGCTGACCTACCTCTCTCTAGATGGCTCTGTTTCGTTGCTTCTGAGCTGGGTTTTTTTGGCGGCTTTCAACTAAATACGAAGAAACTCTCTACTACTTCTCTTTTTCAAACATAACTGCATGTTTATAAGGTGTTGTTGAACTTGAAAGGGGCATACATTGTCAGTTTTGTTTACTGACAAATTATCAAATGATGAAAAGAGCAAAATTAAATAGGTTGTTTTCATTGAACCGGCGGAAATCAATTCAGATTTTTATGTTCATTGGGTTTTTGTATGTTCTTTTGGTGGGTTTTGAAGTTCCCTTTCTGTTGAAAAATGGGTTCGATTCAGATTTTCACGAGGGGTTTTTCAGTAACGGGAGTTGGTTCTTGAATTTCAAGCCTTTTGTACTTGAAAGTGGGGAATATTTGGATGAGAAAGATGCTCCAATTCGGCCTCTTGATGTCCCATATCAGTCGAGACCAGAGAGAAGGATCAACGAGTTTGCTAAATCACCACTTTCGAGTTTGAATTTTAGTGCTGGCATTATGAATTTAAACCCAGAAAATTCTATTTCGAAGTCTGCAAAAGAGGCCCTTCAGCTAGGCAGAATGCTATGGCAAGAGCTCGAATTTTTGGGAAAAAATAGTAGTGGTAGCGAATTTAGTGGCATTAACAATAAAAACGATAGTAAGATAGAGGAGTGCCTGCATTCTCTATCGACATCAGGAGATATATTTTCGAGGAATGGGAGGGTAATGGTGTTGCCCTGTGGGTTGACATTGGGGTCTCACATAACGGTGGTGGGGAGGCCGAGGGTGGCGCATGCAGAGACGACCCCGAAGATTTCTTTGTTGAAGGAGGGGCAATATGTGATGGTTTCACAGTTTATGATGGAATTGCAGGGGTTGAAGACGGTAGATGGGGAGGACCCGCCAAGGATCCTGCATTTCAATCCGCGGTTGAAGGGGGATTGGAGTGGAAAGCCTGTCATTGAGCAGAACACTTGTTATAGGATGCAATGGGGGACTGCACAGCGGTGCGAGGGGTCAAAGTCTCAGGCTGATGAGGAGACTGGTGAGCATTGATAATTACTTTTTTTATGATTGCTTTTAATAGATTCATATGGCAATGGTCTTGCTTTTCTTTGTCCAATACTGTGTGTTCTTAATATATGATATTTAGGCATGAGTTTGTTGCTTCTCTTTGTTGATGCATCATTATGTATATATTTGATAGTTCTTAACCAATATAAGTGGAAACCAAGAAGTTGTAACTTTTTCCATTTGAAGTTACCTTGAGATTGGAGGAAATCACTTTTTGCATTATAAAATCACTCAAAATTCTAAAAGGTGATTTCCATTTCGCCCTTTTAAAGTATCTTAGGATGCATAAGAATGTGACGGGTGAAAAGAGTACACCTTGTCCATGTCCACTTTGGTGCAATAACCCTTATTTTACTCTGGTGCGAGAACTTTTGACTATTGTTATATTCTTAGAAAATCTGTTCTATTCAACGTAAGCAGTTTTCTGTAGTTTTTAGTTTATGGTTTGCTACTTGGCTCTGTTATCTTCTGAGTTTTTGTTGTGGGACTCTCCTCCATTGTTGATAGCCTAAAGAGAAATTTATGCAGTTGACCATTTGGTGAAATGTGAAAAGTGGATTAGAAATGATGTAAATGGCTTCAAGGAATCAAACTCAAAGTGGTGGTTAAACCGGTTCATCGGGCAAACAAAGAAGGCGGACTTCGATTGGCCATTCCCATTTGTAGAAGACAAGTCATTTGTCTTAACTCTTAGTGCTGGTTTAGAGGGATTCCATGTCAGTGTTGATGGGAGGCATGTCACCTCATTTCCGTATCGCACTGTGAGTAACATACCTTTATATTTGTCTTAATTAGTAATATACTAATATAGTGGACTTTGTTTAAGAGTTTTCTTGATATTCTTAGGGGTTCACACTTGAGGATGCCACGGGCTTATCTTTGGATGGGGACATTGATGTCCTTTCTGTTTTTGCTGCTTCCTTGCCCACATCAAATCTCAATTTTGCTTCTCAGACACATCTCGATATATCTGAGAAATGGAAGGCTCCACCTATTATGGATGAAGCGGTCGAACTGTTCATTGGTATTATTTCAGCAGGCAACCACTTTGCTGAACGCATGGCTGTGAGGAAGTCTTGGATGCAGCATAGGCTTATCAAATCCTCAAAAGCTGTTGCTCGTTTCTTTGTAGCACTGGTAGGGGAATGGATTGGTTGCATAGTGAAATGCAAATTTCTTTCTTTGTAAATTGTCGGTGAAAGGTTGTTAACATTAATTGAAAATCTGATCTTTTGACAGCACAAAAGAAAGGAAGTGAATGTGGAATTAAAGAAAGAAGCTGATTTTTACAGAGACATTGTCATAGTACCCTACGTGGACAACTATGACCTTGTAGTATTGAAAACTGTAGCCATCTGTGAATATGGGGTGAGTAGTGAATTAATTAACGAGGTTGAGGATTGAGATTGTTTCCATGTTGGGATTGATTGTATATGGTATCCTCGCAGGTTAGGACAATATCGGCTAAGTATATTATGAAGGGGGATGATGACACATTTGTTAGAGTAGATGCAGTTATTAAGGAAGCAAAGAAAGTATCTGAAAACAGAAGCTTGTACATTGGAAATATAAATTTCTATCATAAGCCCCTGCGCAGCGGGAAATGGGCAGTGACATGTAAGGTACTAATCGAACCTTTTCTATTTCCTTCCCATAGTTCGGTTTCTTTATTCGTTTCCTTTTACTATTAGAATATGTTTGTTAGTTATTGATACAAACTTGGATGAATTCTTTGGACCCGATATAAAATATCACTAGTTTCATCAATTTGTTATTTTGAGGTCTACTAAGCACCGTAGCTTAGCATGCTTAGCAGCTTAGCATGCTTAGCTTATGCTAAGCAACAGTCACGTGGCATATTAGATCTAAATTAATTCTTGGGACCCACCCACAAACTTATCCACTAATTAATTGATGTGGCACGTCAATATTGTTTAGCATAAGCTAAGCAACAGTGTTTAGTATATCATTTCTATTGTATAATATATGTGAAGAAGACTTATTAATTTTGTGTGACGGTTCAGGAATGGCCGGAGGAAGTTTACCCACCCTATGCAAATGGACCAGGCTACATTATCTCTTCAGACATTGCAAACTTTATTCTTTCGGATTTTGAGAGACATAGATTAAGGGTAAATACGATTTACCATTTTTACCAATGCCTCCGTCAAATGCATTAACCTATTTTTGCATGTGATCCTTTTCTATTTTCTGGACATGCAGTACTTCAAAATGGAGGATGTGAGCATGGGAATGTGGGTCGAGAAATTCAATAGCTCAAGACCAGTCGAATACAAACACAGCTTGAAGTTCTGCCAGTTTGGATGCATAGAGGATTATTATACAGCGCACTACCAGTCTCCGAAGCAGATGATATGCATGTGGAACAAATTGCAACATCAAGGAAAGCCTCTATGTTGCAACATAAGATGACACTTGATGCCAATTTAAGATCGAGGACCATGCTTGAAACTAATACAAATAAATCTTAACAGGGTCAGTATCTTAAGTTGTAAATCCTATGAAATTCAATTTTTTTTGCGTCGTTTTATACATTCATTAGTAGTTCCATTCGAGGATGGAAATTGATAGTGTACATACACATGCAGGGAAGATCTGTATACCTTATCTTATAATTTTCCAATAAAACATTGTAGCTGAAGTAGTCAAATTCAAGATTTTGTTTAGTTGCTCTTTCTTCTCATCAAGGTTTTTATTGAGTTAAGCATGTATAATCTTCATGTGTTCAATGGCTAGTGAACCACATATTAGTGAAAACCCATTGGTTTGAGCTCATACCGCGTTTTTTATAGCTCCCAGGGGTCACTCTTGGGTTTTTTGTGGAGCTTAAGCCCCTTAAAAGAAATGTAAAGCCAGAAGCATGGAGCATCATTAAGCAAAATCTTTTGTTGCTATCAGTTAAAAAAGTTAATGCATTGACTGGATGAGAATGAGCAAGAACCACAATAAATTTCCCATCCACATATCTTCATTTGTTTTCTGCTGAATCAAGACATACTAAGAATTACCGGAACTATATAATTTTGCTCAACACTGATTCTCCCAGAACGAAACATAGATAAACCATACAATGACGTTAAAATTTCGCCGTCGAACTCTCTAATAGTTACTGTAAAGTGGATTGACCACAATTTACTAGCATACATTAAATCAGCTTCTTTGGGAGAAAACCTACAATCCTTGCATTCTGGTGGACGGGCTTTAGAAGTTGTCTTTATCTTCGTCTTTCATAGAATTGGGAATGTCGTCAAAGCCAGAACCTGGGGCGAGCTCGTTGAGATCAAGAAAATGCCTTTTCCATACACCGTCAACTTGATCTGTGTCATTTGATTTTTCTGGTGGATGTGTTTGCTCCTCATCATTTGTCTCGGGATGCTCCTCGGCAGGCTGACCGACTTGCTCATGCTTTTCATTGCTCGACTCTGAATCTCGACTTCCCATCGAGAACTCTTCATCATCACTAGCAGTTCGGTGCTTGTCTAATGCATTTGACTTCTCAGGTTTCATTGATTCAGTTTCTGATTCAGACATCTCAATCTGTCTATAATCAATACGAGTTCTGGTTGCCCTTTTACTGCGTCTAAGACCTGACTGGAGCTCATCGACTGACCTCAATTTGGTTTCTCTCCTGGTGCGGGATGGCAATGTTTTGAATTTACGGGGCTCATCACTCTCCTCACTTGTACTCAAGGCATCATCCTCTTCTTCCTCCTCCTCTTCTGGATTTTCATCATCCCACTTGTACTCTTCATCTCCTTCTGAGCCACTCGATATTTTCCTCCTCTGTTTCCGTCTCCTTAGATATTCTTCGTCATATACAACTTCGCCAACAATATCATCATCACTATCAGAATCTACCTCGTTATCCGAGATAGCTTCAACAAACTCTTTCAACCTCTGAGGCCTCTGCCTTCGGCGATTGCTACCGGCCAGGAGATAATCAGTTAGTTCAAGCGTTGATGATAAGCCCTGCCCAACCCAGAAAAAACGAGTAAAGACTAATGGAGTACCTGTAATCCAATGTTTCAGCTTTGTGGTCGTTAAAAAATTCATCGTTGTCGGGTGATTTGGGGGAGAGAGAACTGAATGAGGCATGTCGAGAATATTGCGAAGGACCACTCCATCCACCATTTGTAGAGGCTTCATGTTTCACTTGAAGATCTCTCCTGTCAAAAGGTTCAGGGGAAGGATGTTTCTTCCTGATGTAGGGGAGCAAACAGACAAGTCAAAACAATCTTAGTGACTATAATCCGATAAAAAAAAAGAATGAGAAACAAAGAGACTGAAAAGGTGACTAGGATTCATACTTGGTGACCTTGATAGCCTCATTAATGGATCGATCATAATCATCTACAATATAATCAGATCAAAATCAGAATTCAAGTGATTTGGGGGTTCAGGTGCCAACAGAGAATTTGAGCCACTGTTTATGCAAAATAAAGCCAATATGAAAGGAGAGCATCATCAACATCAATTCAAACAACTTAAACAAGTGTAAAAACATTCGGTCTCTGAAATCCTCAAGAATAGTCATTCCAAATAAGCAGGGCAAAAGCACAATGCAAACAGGGGGGGTTCTATGGTGCCAGGAACTTTTTATTTCAAAATAGACAATGAATCAATAATTTGCCTGAGAAAGATCAAACCACTTGGCAACTCCACACTGACAAATGCTCCCTATCCCCCATTCCAATCCCCAAAAATGAATAAGAAAGAAAACTCGAAACATAAGAAGCCATAACCAGAAAAAACTTGCAAGTCGAGTANAATTAGATTAGTCTTACCAAAGGTATAGGTGACGTGTTTTCTATCACGAAGGGAGCGACCAGCACCAAGACCATCAATGTTGATCAGATTATCAAGCATAAGAGCTTGTCTATGTTGCTTCTTTAACAGTCTTTCTTTTCTCTGCATTAATAGCACATCTTAGTGCCAATAACCCCAAAGAGATTGAGAAAGGAAAATTTATTTACATCTTTCAAACAAGTGATGATTTTTAGAGAAAAGGATGATGTGACCGAATAAAGCATAATATCCAAACTAAAAAAATATGCAGTAGAAATCATCTTCCAATCAAATGCACACCACCTTGTGGACCTTCTCAACTTCAGGAAGCATGTGTTTTTTCAATTTCCTCCCAACAGAAACCTCTGTTCTATTTTTACTTGAAAAGAGCTTCTCCTGCAAACAACAGGAATGAAATTCAGATGGACATGGACCAATGAAGGAAAATGTATCAACTCCTATGGTTAAAAACTACAGTAAAAAAGTGGGTTATCAAGCATGTAAGGTGATTTTGAGATTATCAAGCACCTTACAGGGATGAGCTCTACACGCAAAGTAGCACCTCATTGAAAAGGAAGGTGATTTACATATTCTGAAACCTTAAATTTATACACAATTGTTAATGCTGACATGCATGAACAATCAAATGTCCACAGACATGCATACGCGCACCACCATATTAGAGGCTTTCTTTTAACATTAGAGATTGTCTACAAGAAGATAATAAGACGCAATGGAGGATGCTTTAATCATTTCACGGATATATGAAGAATGGTGAAATTTCTCCTGCTTCACCTTGTTTCCCAGCCTCTCCACTGAGGACTTTGGACCAACCGTACCAACCTCAATTGGGAGAAATAATTATATTCAACTTTCACCAAAATGTGACCTGTTTTAACAGTGCTCCTATTTTGAACTCTTTCCTAAAATGCTAATTCTGCTGTAGTTTTTCCTTGAGCTATTGTATTTGCCTCTCTTCGTCTTGGTTCAATACGCTCCCTACCTCTCAGATCTTCACATACTTTTGAGAGCTTTCCCCACTCTTCCCCTCATCTTCGTGTTCAAGGCAAGTCCAGCAAAGTTAGAATATACTTAAATGCATTGATTAATCTATAACATAATATGTTTCAAGGTTAAAAAGTCAGAACTCAAAACACTACATTATACCATGTGTGCTCTTTTAAAAACTGTCTGTTCAATACCATACATCCACCCTAATATAAGCCAACTGTAACTAGCTACTGGGAATCATCGAGAAGTTGACACCCATTTTAACCTGGCTCAAACCAGCAATCTGACAACTGTTTCAGCCCTAAAATTTTATGGATCAAATGATTAATGTTGCCATGAATCTCATGTTGCACCTAGAGGATCTGTTTTCAAAGTACTGTCAATTTCAGTTTCACTATATTGAAAAAGGAGAGCAATTCACTGTAGTTAAAAAAAGCAGGCGATAAATGTATCATAAACCACGTAAAATATAAAGAAAAAATATTTGGAATTTATTCAGCTCCAATCCGTGCTCCTTATAGACATGTTTCATCAAATTTAGCTTAGAGACATTTTTAGGGCCAGATGAGTTAATTTTGTTTCTAATTTCTAGTATTTTTACGAGAAAAGATGCAGTTTCTTCATGAGTTTCAAAATTTTCTAGAATGTTCAAGATCAAACTATGTCTTCAATTTTAAAAACAAAAATAAATTTTGAGCCCCTGAGTTCGAGCAGGAGGAGCATTCTTTTGTTCCCATGATACACTGCATCCTTATTTCCTTGATAGAATTCACATTGTATAGTCTTTTGGAGCTTTTCGAGGCTATCTTGAGATTGAATAAAGTGATTCCATTCCAGAAGTTATTCAAAGGTTCCCTGATCTTCTACTACTGGGTAATGGGATTTTTTTTTCCTGGATTAAAATTGACTTGTTTATTTACAGTGAACGGAAAAGAAGAATCTTCAAATCAACAGCAACAAAGACTTACAGAAACATTTTGGAATTCATCTAAATTAGTAGCAACTGTTTCCCATTGATAACATGAATGAGGAATGGCAGGTATGCTCTTTCCTTTTCCTTTCTTCACCTCAACTTTCCTAATCTCCCGGTAAAGGCGCTGACCAATGATAGGATCATCTTCATACCTATATAAGAACACGTGTTTCAATGATAACTAGCAGAACAGAGAATAGCATGGATTACGAGAAAAATAATTCACTAATCATTTCAACAACCTTTCTAGTCCTTACTAATGCTGGATGACAAAATGGATGCTTAGAATACAAATATTACACGATCAATTCTTTGCAACTAAATGTAAATTACCAATATGAGATTCCGTGTGAATCACCCCCAAGGCGTTCTTTGCGAAATACTGAAAGTGGCACACCATGTTTTATTGAATCATCTATAAAGCTCCTAAAATCTTCTTGCTGCATAAGGAGAGAAACATATCCAAATTGTAGCATTATTTAGTAAAGGTACACCTCAAAGATACATCCAATTTTATGCAATAGCATAAATAGTAAGAGCAGGAACTTTCGATAAGTCTCCAAAGCCATGCCTGAGGCTTTGGCTTGACTAGTGAAAAGCTTGTTAATAAAAATGGAAAACTCAAGCTTGAACTCCACCACAG